TTGAAGAACAAAAACCCTTCTGAAGAACAAAAACGTGAAAATAAGCTGAAGAACATATATTCTGTTCTTCAGTTTTCAAAGAACACATTCGTGTTCTTCACCATGTTCTCTAAAGAACGGAAAAACACAGATTTCTAACAGTGTAGCCACTTGTAGTTAGTTTTGTATTGTTCATTGTAACAAATTCCATAAGAAGATTACCATTATTTTTAATTACATCTTGTGTAAATTCTGACTCTTCAGATAATTGAATCGCTGGTTTAAGACCATTGAACTTAGCATGAGATATAGAACTTTGTGTTAAATTTGTACTTTTAAACATAATCATCGATCGCCTACCATCAGTATCGCCAAGAAACACGACAGGTTCATTTGACATACCAACTATTCTCAGTGTACCTTTGATCAAAATTTGATAATCATCGGAATCGAACATGATTTGTGTACCTTTTTGAATTGTTAATATCACGCCCGATGGTACTTGAAAATCACTTGTAACATGATAAGGATTATTTGCACTTTTCCAGACAGTGTTGACAAATACAGGGCCGCCAACATTCGTTGAAAAAATATCGAAGAACGTAGAGCATAAAACGAGTATAGTGAGAACGGAATGTTTGCTTTGTGCCATAGTCTGACTAAAAAAACAGAAACAACATTGCTACAAATAATGACGAATGTTATATCTTACCTTACGTGTAACTGATGTATATTGCTCTTGAGTATTTAATGAAAACTGTCCACGTATATATAATGACGATTTTTCGGAACTAAGTTTTATTCCTTTATAGTGAATAGATTCATGAAATTCTTTAAGGATGCCTTCGAAATGCTTATCGCTTGAATCGCTTTAAGCGCCGCTTTCTATATTTAGATAGATTTATTCACAGAAACGAAAAAAGAAAAGTAAGCAACGGTAGAGATGGAGATTAATCCATCATGTAGGTCTAGTCAGAGGCGGCGGAGCGTCATGAAACTAGGTGAGGCTCAGTATTTTTTTCGTTCCCGTCGGACTTTTATCAAATAGGTATGCACCAGTTCCAGTTTTTAACTGTGAGAACTGGAACTGTGAAAACTGAGACTGCTGGAAAACAGTTTTGAAATGAATTCAAAAGAAATTTTAAATGAAGAAAATACGGTAAATATAATAATCAATTACTTATACTCCGTAAACTTCAGCTTCGAAAAGCATTCCTATTAAAATGCTTTTGATTTTTTTACTGTATTTTATTCAATAGAATTTAAAATTTCTTTTGAACCCATTTCAAAACTTTTTTCCAACAGTTTCAGTTCCCACAATTCCAGTTCTCTACAGTTTCAGTTAACTGGAAGTGGTGCTTACAAGCGTCAAGTGCAATGTAAGTCCTCTTTTTATTCAATTCAACGATTGATCAGATTAGATATATTGCTAGAATAAATGGCTAACCATTGTCATTTGTTGACATACAAATTGGAACAGGGCTTACAAAATAGTTTCAAAAAGATAAGAGTGAAGTGAACGACATAGATGCACCTATGATTGGACCTAAAAAGAAACGGATCTACAGGGAAATACCATGTGCTGGGGAACTCTAGACAAATTTTGAAAAAGCAGCTGACGTAGTTTTCGAAGAAAGTTCAGCCAAATATCGATTTACGATCTGTCTCAAAGCCTCCATCGGTTGTACAAACTTTCTTTTAAACGAAAGATAAAATTCCAAAGGATCTCTAGTCAGATATAGTCTATCTGGCCAAATGTAGTAATTGTGAAGATAGTTATGTGGGAAAAACAGAACGCCAGAATCTTCCTAGACTCCAGGAATATGGTGCTCCTAAAGACTTGTTTCAACAACATGGTCTCAGTGTACTCTGATGAAACTTCTGATGAAGATATCGAAAAGATATTCTCGAGTCAAGGGATGAAATTGGTCCTATAATAAAGAAACATCGAGCAGTTGTAACACCTTACCCTACGAATCCTAGACGATCATCTAGAATACGAGATCAGTAGTCTATATTAACTTCTCCAATAAAATTGTCTTAACAATTTAAGGTGCACGCAAAGCAAGGTTCGAGCAGAAATTTTTTTTTCGATGTTTCAGACACCATTCGATAGAGAATTTTACGGCGATCAAGAATATGTGTTCCCTGAAAATTTTCGATGCTTCTTTCTATC